TCAATAATAATTTTTTAGTACTAAATTAGGGAGGTATTTTTATTTTTATTTTAAGTCCCTGAATAGCTAGTCAGGGCATTGCAGACTTTTGGTTTTTTGTAATGTGGGACCAATAATATGACCGTTTCGAGAAACTTAAAATGTCCGTTTTGTTGACTTTTCAACTGTTTTATACGTTACAAGTTATAACCTTTCGAGTTATGTAAGATTACATATCCACAACAAATTCTCTTTTTCATTGAAAATTATCAATATAAACAAAAACAATTAGCGTTATTGAAGGTTTCGATGTGCAAGTGCAACAAAGAAAACGAAAACAACAGGTAAAAAAAATTATATAGAAGAGCAGGTTTTGTTGATTGTTTTGTTTTGTGAAGGTCATAAGAAAGACAAATTAAAAAAAAAAGTCTCTTATTTATACACAAGCATAGATACAACAATTACACAAACATCTAATTTAAAGATTATGATCACCAAATAATTGCATAATCGAGACATAATATAAATACAGAGTCTATAAAATCTTTTAATATGCATCGTAGCTTCTCTGAAGCACTCCAAAATGGAATCAACGAATTTATCATCTTTTTCATTATCATTCGTAAACGGGGTCAAACTTGACTTAATGATGGGAACTAAAAACCGGTTGCGGAAATAGAGACGACCAAAGAGCTTCCAAACTAAATAGGAGCAGAAGTGATCGTAAGCGTCGACGATGAAGCTCATACTATCAATGAAAATGGCAATGAAATCGAAAAAGAGCGTTTTCGCAACTCCAAACGCTGTCTTCATGACTTTCACCATTTCCTATTTTGCTTTCTTCTTCATTTTTTTCACACTTTGTGTTTCTATTATAAGTTGAAGAAAAATGATTTTTTTTTTTTTTGTTGGAAAGGGAAATGTAATAAGTGGCTCTCACGATTATTGTTAAAAGTACTTGTATACGAATTGACTTGGTAATTAAAAAAAAAAAAATCTGAAGAACTTGTTCAAACGTTTTTCTTCCAACATTACCCTTGTATATAGCTCACAAAATTTACTTTGTACATTTTAGTAAAGTACGTCCATTTTGTGTAACTTAGAGACTAGTAACTAAATACTATTTGTTCGCTGATACTTCATTTGCAATGTCTGAATCTAGTTATATGAGTTTGAAGCTTGAAGATGTGGTCCTGTATTGATTCTCATAGGATAAGAGTTACCTATGAGGCAACAATTACAGAGCCAAGAACAGAGTAGCTTGACATATAGACAAGAACTGATCCAACATATGCAAGAAACACACAAATACCTTACTTATTTGATAAACATGACGGTTTACTCTTAATTTACGTTATTTTTCAAATCCTGTAACATGACAGATGCGATGTTCCATCGAGACGTTTCTCAATGTATCCCTTTGTGTACTCTTGTATTGTCATCTCTCTGTATTTTGGAGGGTTTTCTTCAGATAGAAGCTCTTTGATTGGTCCGTAAACTGTGGGATTCGGATTCATTTGGGAGCTGTAAAAGCAGCCGAATGAAACCCTAGGTCGATCTCTGTTTGCAAGAACCCTGTGCTCTACGCTTTTGAACTTATCGTTGGTCATAAGCTACACAAAACCAAAACCTCTGTTTTTATATGTTTAATGTCTCTTATATATACTTTAAGTGAAAAAAAGTAAGATTCAATGAGCTTGCCTGCAAGTGATCTCCGATGTAGATGACGAGTGCCCCGGGAATAGGCGATACATCGACCCAACAGTCTTGATGAAGAACTTGAAGACCACCGATTTGGTCCTGAAGGAGAATAGTGATAAAAGAGTTGTCGGAATGCTTACTTACGCCCAAAGTTAGGTCAGGTTGTGGACATGGAGGGTAATAATGGCCAGCCATAAGCAAACCCTTCATGCAACCCTTGCTCTTAAGCATCTCAGAGTTCAAACCAAGAGCTTCAGAGAGAAGCTCAAAGAGCAAACCACCTAAGCTCATCACATGCTTAGCGTATTCGATCATAGCATCTCTGAGCCAATCAATAATGTTACATTCAAATATCAAACATAGTATCTTTAGTATTGTCTCTAATAAGATTATTGAAGAGAAGACGAAATTGTTACCTGCAAGCCACTGGGAGGTCCTCAGGGTTTGGACGATCAGGAGGAACCATGTAAGCAGCGAACGAGTCTCTCCAGTTACCATTTTTCGAACTATACAGTTCGAAATTGTTGTGGTAGATAAATGTTTTGCTGAAATCCCGCGAAAAGTAAGAATTCTTGACCTCAGGATCTTCATCATGAAACCTAACAACTGCATCTTTGATCTCTTCAAGAACGCTTAAAGGAACACCATGGTTGATGACCTGGAAGAATCCCCACTTCTCTGAAGCGTCTTTGACCTTCTCAACGACGAATTCACGCGACGCTGCAAGGTCTGCAAAATCGATGATAGGGATTGCCAAACTCGAGGAAGAAACTGAAGGTTTCTTGTCGGATAAGGTACCTTGAGGAATACGGAAAATACTAGGGATCTCAGTGATTTGAGCATCAACTGCAGTTTTCTCTTCCTCCAAAGACTTGCAGTCGAGTTCGATCGAGTCTTTAGCCACCATTTTTTTAATATCTTTTTGTATTCTAAGATTTCTCTTAGAATAATCTGCTATATAGCAGACCC